TTTTATTATTTTATATCTATATGCCTTTCTTAAACTAATCAATATTTTATTTTATTTTTAGGCTTGTTTTAGATGGACTGCAATGTAATCATAACGTTATAAGCTTTCTGCAATTGATGATTAATACTCCTTCAAATGTAACTGTTAAGAATATTTTATATTTCATAAATATTTGATAAATTTGTTGCTTTTTACAGAATGTTTGCAAATCCGGAAATCCAGATATCGCAATTCTTTTGTATTTTTTAAAAAAGTAGCCGGTAATGCTCTAAACATTCTATAGATATGTAAGGGATTTGGTCGCATATCAGTAATGATATCACCATCCATACAATAAAGATTAGTAAATTTACAATCTGTGTTCATGATCGTCTTAATGTTGTTGCTGAAAATAAGTGAAGTTTGAAGTTCATCTGTGATTACATGACTTCCACAGATGTGTGGATACGCCAATCTTTCGATATGGACAACGCTTCGAATTTCAGTTATATTCCATAAAATAATACTATTGCTGGTTTTGCATCTTCCGCTTTGAATAGTGCAGTGTTCAGCATGGCCCAGATCTGAGACCATGCCTTTCCCATCGTATAGTGATAATTGACTTTCTGTGATTGCAAAATTTACTATAGCTTGACATTTTACTCCTATAATGATGACGACAAATAATGATGTACAATATTCCATTCATTAATTGTCGTCCAGGTACCTGGTGCTATTTATTTCATGATGATTTCATTGATTTCCTTATGTTCATGTAAAAATTTACAAGTTTGCGATGATATTGCTGAATGGTTGTTTGATACAATACTACAGATAAAGATAACCTACGAAAGGCTTTGGTACATATCATTCGAGTAATATTGTTGCATCTTATTGCTGGAATTCGTGCATGATGTCTAGTGTAGACCGCTACCTTAGTCAATGTGAGATTATGTGGCAATATCTCTACACAATTCCATCTATTTAATATAAAGAAATACCAGTTGTCGTTTTGTAACCTTTCAACCTTTCTTCATTATATAACTGTTTGCCTAAACTTGTAGTGATATAGCCATCATTAATAGCAAACTTTGAATTACCAAACTTAATGTTCACTTTGGACATCCTTCTGGTCGATGCTCAGGTACGCGTTGCAAATGGTTCTTGTGTTTCGATTTCTTTACTTGTTGAGTGCGTATTGGAATCTTCTGTTGTTGCTCAATTTCTGGATCAATTTCATCATTAACTTCGAACGAATAAAAAACGTTTATCGAACGTTTCAATACGTTGCCGTTAGGCAATTCTATTGTAGCTTCCATTTTTTCCTTTATGAAGTTCCTTTATTCTGGATAGTTTCCACATCGTGGTGTTCCAGGTTCATTGAGTACAACTATTTCGTTTTCGCACGGTGATCTAATTTCGACCCTCTTGAGAGATGTCATTTCTCGCTGAGAGTGTTCTCTTAGACTAGTTAAGTACTCCGTTCTCGACATCTTCCAGAATACATCTAAGGTTTTAAGAGTATTTGACCAATATTTAATAGCTTTATCTTTGGTGTTTATGTCGGGAAAATTCTTCATTCTGTACGTTTTCATCTTCAATCGGTAAGATTAGCAACATCAGGTAAAATAAAATTTATAGGACGTAGAACGGAGTAGTTCTCAAAATTTGTGCAGGTCAATGGATGAGTATTAAGTATACTTTCCAAAGGAAAATAACTATGGCCTTTCTCATTACTTGTTTTGTTAATCCAATTATTTTTTCATAAACGCCGTCCTTCCCATGGTGATCTAGGTGTTTGCTGCTAAGAAGTTGACATTTTATTAGTTGAAACTAGTGAGCTGAGTAACACTGTCACTTAAAATCAATTTGGTACATCCTACCCGGCCAATAAATCTTCTTAGTAAAAGTAAGAAAGCTTTAGCAGAGAGATTCTCAACTATTTCTAGATGTACCATTCTAGCCGTAAAACATATTAACAAGGCAATCCATCGTTTTCCTTTGCCAATTTTTAGTAATCCAATCCAATATATTCAAATGTTCG